ACAAAATAAGATGAGAGGCAGAGTAAAGAATGCCGGTATACTTACAAAATTTAGATTGTAATCTTGGATGGTGAGAAACGGAAATATAATTAACCAATAAACAGAATCAGTAAGCATCACTGCCCCAGCATTCATCTGTTTACAAATTAAAAGAAGTGACAATATGAGTCTAGGTGAAGTATGCAGCCCATGAAGGCCTTTTATAGTTGGAAAGAAGCTTATAGCTAATCAAAAGCTTAACAAGAGATCAACTTTCATTAATTAATTCCTTGACATAAAAAGGGATCATCACTAATAGCTGACAGCCTTATTCAACATAAATGTAAGTTCCACTTCAATTGGTCAAGACCCTTTTCTGCAACGAGGAGAAACTACAAATTCTTGGGAAGAAATTTACCTGGAACATGATTTCAAAGACATAATTCCAAATCCCTGGTAGTCGTGTAAACCAAATCTTCCCCTTGCGGATTAGAGATGCTTCTTTTTCGGACTCCATTTGTGGCTTCCTCACACACGAGAGGCATGTATGATCCATGTTCTGCATCTGTTTCAACATTAGAAACACTTGATCTACTTAGATTGATATACTGGAAACAACCATAAGCCGAGAGCAGCGATCCACACTGAAACGAAAAGTTAAATCGGAATAAGATGGAAAGTTAAAATCTTTTCGATAGAAAAAATGGATGGTTATCCAAAAATATTTGTCCTTAAGAATGACACTTCACAGCATACAAATATAGACATATGGCTAAAAAAAAGCTTGGACATACCCCAAAATAAACAGTAAGCAAGGTAAAAGTCCATCTGCCCAGCATCCAAAATACATCACAAAATTAAAAGAAGAAATCCAACACACGATCAAAAGAACATGGGGAAGCCTATGTGCTCAAAAGTTAAGATAAATCTTACTGCGTATAATAGAGGAATATGCGACCTCCATTGATAAGAACTTTGAAAATCAACGTTTCCAAAAGTAACAAGAAAGAGAAAAGCCGAAAACCGAGCAACCAAACGGGGTGGATTTGTTTGAAACAAGGTCTCCATGCTTCATTGTCGCAGAAAGGCTGATTTAGACCCTGATGAGTGTCTCTTCTGTCAGATGTTAAATGCATGTTGGGGCGTTCATATTTCCACATCATCAATGATGCTAAAACCATAGGTGTTAGTACCCAAATTGCGCATAGCAAGACTCTCCAGTTCAACCAATAACTCAGGGTGGTAGTGTCAGCCGGTTCCTCTAGCTCCATCCTGCTATAGAAATCATGGCGTACATTGTTAATCCAATTTCTTATGTATGACTAAACTATTAAGTATTGGAGCCTAATTATACACGCTGATCAATCTTTTTATTGAGGGGCTGTCGTTTCTAAGATTAAAAGAGGGGTTGGAGAAAAACACAGTGAGTTTAAGAGGTATGCGCTTTTCTTGTAATCATCTTCTTCATCGCCACTGTAACCACCTTTTACTTCAATGGAGGCGTACATTATATTTTTTTTAACAAATTATCTTAGTGGGAACATATAAAAAAATATATTTATTTTAGTGGGGGCATATATTATTTCGGTGAAGGTTTAAATATAAAATTTTAAAATTTTTAAAGGTAATATTTTTTTTTTTTAAAATTTGAGTGGGACGGCTGCCCCGCTCATCTTCAAGCGGCTCCGCCACTGACTGCAACCGTTGAAAGTGAAACTTTCACATTGAGGGCGACCCACAATAAATCTTGCATGTGTTCTTTTGTATGATTTTTTCTGCGATTTTATTGCTCTAAGTAGTAAATACTTAAGAGTGTTTAATTCGTAACATAAACTTGTTTATGATCACGCCAGCAAAAAGTTGAGATTGTACATTGATGAAAAAACTGATGATCACTTTCAGCAAAAGAAGTAAGCAAAATCCAAAATAAAGCATATATAAACCTTCTACTATCATAACACCAAAAAGAAAAAAAAAAAAACATAACAAGATGGAGTACCCCTAATCCTACAAGCGTTCTATTAACAATCAAAAGGAAAACACAAAACAAAGGGTGAAAGTTTTTATATAAAATACATATCTTTTCATTTTCTCACAATTTCGTTGCTGATGAGAAAAGATAAGAGACGGAAACTCTATAGAGTCATTCTTCAACTCAACTTTCCATATTTTTACCTTCTATTTCTCAGAGACCAAACAGATTGGATTGAAAACTATTTAAGAAAGAAAGGAAAAAATTTGGAACAATAAAGTAACTTACAGGGCGAGCAACGGACAGATAAAAGAAAAGCTTGTAATTTATATGGCAGAAGAGAAATGTGAAACAGAAGAGTTAATTGGTGAGCTTTCCGCTCTTGGCTGAGCTTTCCTTCTTTATTTGTTTTCTGTTTTATTCCGTGCGTAATAAAGTTCACGTCTTTTGGATTGCGAGAGTGACGTTCTTGTTTTCCAGTTATTTTGAATTGGATTTATTATCTAATTTGGGGTCATTTATTTCTTATATTCATCTCTTATTTTAAATTATGATTCATAATTTTTAAAGTATTTTTTTTTATAAAAATACACGTAAAATGAAAATAGTTCTAAATCACGATTCTGAATACATAAATTAAACATCCTGTGATTGTAATCTACACAACGACTTCTCCTCCTCTTACTCTCTGGTTCATTTAGTTTAGTGATTCGAGTTTTTAATTTAAATTGAGATATAATTTTATGTAAAATTTTTTTACTATAATAAAACTTAAATTTTAAATTTAAATCGGTGAAATAAATGTAGCTTTAATTTGTCCTTATTCGCCTCTCTCTTTGGATGGATAAAGATTCATTCTTTTTTTTTTTTTTCTTTCTGTTTCTTTTCCATGGATTGACTGAAAAAGATTAGTTTGCATTTTTCACGCTTTTTTTTTAAATGTAATATTATAATTGATACACTGATTACAAATTTAATATTTAAACGTAAAAAACACTTTTTAATACAATATTAATTACCTCTTTTTTCTTGTCCTTTTTATCCTCCACGTCTTGTTAATTTTGACAAAAATTAGACACGTAGTAAAAGGTCAAAATTTTAAATTACTTTACAAATAACAAAATTAGATAATTAATAAGAGACTTTATCTAGTGTTTTTTATTTTTTAAAAATATTAACGTTTTTTACTTATCAGTCTCATCAAATTTATATTAAATTTAGTTAAAATTTAAATTAGATAAAAAAAGTAATACAAATCTAACGGCTATTAAGTAAAGAATACCGGTGTATAGAAAACATAGAGAAATTCCCAATTAATAATTATCATATAGTGAGGTAAATCGCATAACATTAGAGGTGACAATCACTATAATAATTACGAAATTCTATATGATTATACTATTTTTTGAAATACATTTTTAGAATTGTTATATTTTCATTCTTGTTAAATATGAGTAATTTTAGTTGATTCTACTAGTGATATTCCATATTCCGCCCTTCCTCTGACGCAAAACGAAATGTCGTATGCTAAATGGGCCTCATATAGTAGCCCATTTCTTTCTTGATCAAGCCTAGCCCAGAAGATTTCTGACTAACCCAAGCCCGAAAACGGCAGTCCCACCAAAAACCCTAATTCGACGGCCATCCATTCCACTCCTTATATACGTCGTCTTCTTTCTCCTCGATCGGCCATTGTTGGCAGCTCCCAACCAACCAACCAACCATGCAGATCTTCGTGAAAACCCTAACGGGCAAGACTATAACCCTAGAGGTGGAGTCCTCTGACACCATCGACAATGTCAAGGCCAAGATCCAGGACAAGGAAGGAATCCCTCCCGACCAGCAGCGCCTGATCTTCGCCGGAAAACAGCTCGAGGACGGCCGAACCCTCGCCGACTATAACATCCAGAAGGAGTCGACGCTTCACCTGGTTCTCAGGCTCAGAGGAGGAGCCAAGAAGCGAAAGAAGAAGACCTACACGAAGCCGAAGAAGATCAAGCACAAGAAGAAGAAGGTCAAGCTCGCCGTGCTTCAGTTCTACCAGGTGGACGCGTCGGGGAAGGTCCAGAGGCTGAGGAAGGAGTGCCCGAACGCCGAGTGTGGGGCCGGGACTTTCATGGCCAACCACTTTGACAGGCATTTCTGTGGAAAGTGTGGATTGACCTATGTCTACCAGAAGAACGGTGGTGATTAGTTCAACTCTGCTTTTTCTGTTTCCTTTTAAAGCTCGTGTCTTTTAGGTTGTAATTTTTTTTGTGATGTGGATTTTGATCATTCTGGGCTAAATTGTTATTTTTTATTATGTCAATTGACAGTTGATCAAACTTACTTATTATGATACTTATTCCGGCTTGTTTTTGAATTATATGGTGCAATATTTGTTTGTGTTTATTATAAGTCATTTGTTAGTTTTCATCCGGATCTCTTTTTGTTTAAAATGTAGTGATGTTTGGATAAGATTGAACTTATCGAATCTGTAGTCTTATGTTGATCTAAATGCTTGTTATTTTTTTTTTTCTTTTGGTTTGGTTAGACTTTAGGGCTTGTTTGGTACGGGGGAAGTGGAAGGAGGGAGAGGCGTAAGGATTTCAATCTTACAAGAGATAAAGTGAGGGAATGGATTGATTGTTTGATAGGAGAGATAAATGGAGGGAATGGATTGATTGTTTGATAGGAGAGATTTTAAATGAAGGGTGCTTTCTTTTCTTTTTATTTTCATCGCCTAGGTTATATGCCGTGTTTTTCCATTCTATTTTCTTTACCTCCTACCATTTTCTAGTTCTTTGCGTTTCCTTTGTTTGCTTTTGAGAGAGAATTGTTTCACACAAGTAAGTTTTTGGTAGGTTAACAGTCAGTTGTGATCAGCAACTAGATTATAGAATCTCAGTGCCAAAGTTGTAGATTAGAAAAAGAGTTTTCTGTACAAAGTTGATTTATGATCTTGTGTTGAAAAGCTGAAGAATTTCCACCAGTATAATAAATAGCATCTGAACGTTGTGACTACTTGTAGCTCTTTATTTGGCTCTTTCGATATGCACACTTTAACTTAGTGAATGCCTCTGAATTCTGATTGCGATTCCTGCAGATAATTTGTTACCTTCGTGGTTTGGGAATTTTTCTTCTTTCCTTCCTTTCAGTATTTTCTGATGATTTAGCTTGCTCTTTTGTTGGTGCGTTGTGTTCTACAATCTTTTAGCTTGCTGCTTGTAACACTGATCAAGACAAGTATGCTGGTAAATGGTAAGCTTAGCATTAGTACAAGGTCAAAAACTGGCGTCTGATTGTGTCTTTTGTATTGTTTCGTAGTTTTGTTATTGTTGCAGAAAAACGCTACAGTTTTGTTTGCGAATTACTCCTCTAGCATATCGACGTGCCGTCTTTCATCCACTGTGTTTTCCCTAAGATATTTCTCCCTTAATTCTAGTGATGAATAATAGAAAGATTGGTTCATACTTTTTTTTATAAACCAAGTAATTACTCTGTTCCTTGGCAGAGTATATAAATTTCGGGGTGTTCTCACAAATGGTCCATCAATACTTTGAATGAGCAATTGATTTTTTTTCTAAATCTATTAGTTTTTGATTAATTAAATAAAAAGGGTATTAAAGTCATTTCATATCTCAAAAATCAGCTTTAGAGTACTAAAAATATGTTTTTGAAAACGTTGAGATACTGTTTTAATATTATCAAAAAGATAGGATATCAAGATCATATTTCACTATAACACAAAACACTAAAATAATTTTATCCCTTATTATTATTGTGTCTCATACTATCACTAATTATAATTTTAGAAAGAAAATTAATATTCAAGATTTCCATTGAAATTTTGCATGTCAATAAAATACAAACATTGTGATTATAAGACGATAAAAAAAAAAAAATTCATATCAATGCTATTGCTCTTGACCAAAAATTGTTATCGCCTATCATTAAATGGAAGCAATGTAATTTAGCAAAGAAAAAAAAAAAACTAGCAATGTCTTAAAGACAAGAAACTGCATACAAAATAAACAGAGGAGAATACACAACACCATATATATTTTTCTTTAAAAAATTAATCTAAAATTTAATCCTTAAAAAATAGGAGTTATCTTATTATAGCTTTTATAATTCAGGGTGTCAAAAACTGGTCTCGAACTTATGAGAAAAGATTAATTTTTTAAAAGAAAAAAGAGATAAATATCTTTTAAAAATACATAAGTCAAGATTTATATCTTTTACTATTGATTAATAATATTTTTAATCAAATAACTATACTAATAAAAAGATATTAATTAATAATGAAAGGTAAAAATTTAAAATCATACACTCTTAAAAATAAATTATGTAATTTTCTCTCTTTTTCTTTTTGAAGTTGTAAACAGGTGCGGTCACACTTCAATACGCTTATTTAAAGGAGAGTTTGTGTATTTTTCTTATATAATTCAACACCAATTTTCCAATTCATCATTAAAAAAGAAAAAATCAAAATTTTCCAATTATTACATTATTGGGCTAAAGTACTTCAACTTCAGCCCCAAGTCCTTTAGTCGTGGGCCATATAGGCCCAAAATCATGAGTGTGATACCAAGCCCTAGCCCATTCTTGCCTGCTTTCCAGTTTCTCCCTCTCTCTTCGCCGTCCAATGTTCCTTTATTCAGCTTCCCCGCCCTCTCCGTCGGACAAGCCAACGATTTCAAAGATCACTCACAACCCTCACTCTTTTGACTTTCGAGTTCTCTCTCTCCGATAGAATCCCCCTAATTTTTCAGTACGTATTATCGAGCTCTTTTCCATTTTTTTTTTAACTTAACTTGATCGTAATTAAATTTTCTTTCTTTTGCTTTCATTCTTCAACTTCTGGAATCAACTCCGTGCTAATACATAGCATGTTAGACCATGATTTGCTTGCAAGTTTATAAAAATTCAAATATTTTGGATTTTCTTCTAATGGGGTTTTCAATTTACATTCAAACATCCAAATATTTTGGTTAATAATTTCGACCATTGTTATTATTATTATTTTTTTCAGATTTTAAAGGATGCTTGCTATAGACCCAGAAAAAAAGTTATCTTTTACCCGTCGCATTAGTGATGGAGATTTGGTCATTATCTATGAGAGGCATGACAGCATGAAAGCTGTCAGAGTATGCGACGGTTCAGTACTCCAAAACCGATTTGGTGTGTTTAAACATTCAGATTGGATTGGGAAGCCTTTTGGGACAAAGGTTTTCAGTAACAAGGGTGGATTCATTTACTTGCTTGCTCCAACTCCCGAGTTGTGGACTTTGGTTCTTAGCCACAGAACCCAGATCCTTTATATTGCTGATATTAGCTTTGTGATCATGTATTTGGAAATTGTTCCGGGTTGTGTGGTTCTTGAATCGGGAACCGGAAGCGGGTCTTTAACTACTTCACTTGCAAGGGCAGTTGCTCCCAAAGGGCATGTTTATACGTTCGATTTTCATGAACAAAGAGCGGCTTCGGCTAGGTAAGAGTTTGGAATCTTCACTTGATGAATAGCTTTACTTTTTTACTTTCCAAAACATAGGTGTCGTATGGTTCATAGGTTTGAACAGAAATTTGAATTTTTTGAGAAAAAACATTGTAGTAGAAAGGTTTCAAAGTTCAAACCTATGAAGTAACTTGAAGTCCAATCTTTGAGTTGTGATTCAAGTAAATTAATACTTCTTGGCATGTAGGTTTAAAGATATTGTTGGGTGTCTAAAGAGCTTACCTCACAGCTTGACATTATAAATATCTGCAGGGGGGATTTGGAGAAGACGGGATTAAGCAGCTTGGTCACTGTCGGAGTCAGAGACATTCAGGGTGAAGGGTTTCCTGATGAATTTGCCGGGATGGTGGATTCCGTCTTCCTGGACCTACCTCAACCCTGGCTGGCTATTCCTTCAGCAGGTAAAATGTTGAAAGACGATGGGATTTTGTGTTCCTTCTCTCCATGTATCGAGCAAGTTCAACGAGCATGCGAAACTCTCAGATCAAATTTTACAGGTAAACTATCATCCAATGTGGTTTGTGTTTTTTGGACTTTCATGCTCAATGTGATTTTATTTTTACTTTTAATTTCCGTCATTTTTGGATCTTCTGCTTGTATATAGATATAAGGACATTTGAGATACTCCTCCGCGCGTATGAAGTTCGAGAAGGAACAATGGAAGGCTGCAAGGGCGATGATGGTGTTTCTATTGGGGCTCTTCCACGCAAGAGGCGACAGCGATCAAGTGAAGGAAGCAACGTGCAGGAATTTCAAAGGTCTTCTATAGCAATGGCCAGGCCATGTGCTGAGGCTAAAGGTCACACTGGCTATTTGACGTTTGCCAGACTCAAATGCTCATAGATTATTTAGCTCCTCTTCCATTTAAGTAGGAGGTTATAAGATTCATTTTCTTGTAAAATAACTTTTGACCACTCCAAGATTTTGATCTTCTTGGTAGCAATTTTGATTAGTAATTATCGGGCACTTTGAATTTCACAAATTATTTATTGAAAAGAAAGAGAATGTAACACAGAGAGGATTTGATGGTCACCATATTTGTTGTCTGCGAGTATAATCAGTGAATGAAGTTGGGCTAAGCCTGAGAAAAATATGGCTTGTGGCTTTTGAGCTTTTTTTTTTTTTTTTCAGTATTAAATTAAGGACATTTCTCAAAAATCAAATGTGGTCAAGAGTGTTTTGTGAAGTACTTTTATTTTGAGATAGTAGTTCATTCACATAATCATATATCTTCTCAAGAGCTTGACTTTCAACTTCACAAACACAAGACTCAAGTAACTCTGTAACGAAAAGGTTTGAATTGTGGATCAAATCTTTTGTCAAACAGAGGCTTAACTGTAAAAGCAATTGTGAGTTCCTGCCAAACAATTGTCCCAGGTAAGTGGCACTCCAAATTATACCATGGAGAAATATCTGGCATTGAAAAGCACTGAAAGCCACATCTCTGGCTCAGCAAATTCAGTACACATATCTTTCAGCCAATATATATATATATATATATATATATAATAAAAACAAATTCAGTATTTATCATAATGTGCCCTAACCACCACCCAATACCAATAGGAAGCATATATATGAAGTCCTAATCTCACTCGTTGACCTTACGGCTCCTATGATACAGAATAAAAAGTTTGTATATTTTATGCATTTTGGATTACAATCGGACAAGACAACCAATACCGATAGGATATTTTTCCCTGTGCACAATTACAAACATTGACTAAAGTTCTCTTGGTAACATAATCCACATTCCCTCTCCACTCAATTCCGTGGCAAGTGTGACATGTCATTTTATTTCGAGTCAATTTCATCACTATCTTCATCGTTTATCACGATGCTTTAGAAGATACTGACGAGTCAACACCATATGGGAAGTGTGCAACGAATGCTCACCGTGGATTTCCGTGGCCACACACCAAGTGTACGCACGAGAACCACAAGTAAGATCAACAATTGACTACATCGTTTTATAAACCCTTTATTATTATTATTATTATTATTATTTTTCATGCAACGTTAAGACCACAAGCTTCTCCTCCTTCTTTCCAAAACCCAAACCAAACAAAAATGCAGAACCCTGCACTTTCTGTGTCTTCTTTCATTCCATTTCTCAAACCTCCTAACAGAAACCCTAACGCTAAAGTCACCGTGCTTTCACACTCTTCGTCTTCGACACAATTAGACCTCCATTCTCGTTGCGGAATCTCATGGCAAAGAAATTTGGACACATTTTCTTCTTCTTCTTCATCTTTTCATTCCAAGGCTCAAATCCCAGCTTCCTTCCTAGTACCGAGTGGAAGATACCAAAATTTGATAGCGAGGGCCGCGTCGGTGCCCGAGAGTGCTAATGAGGGTGCGAGACGAGATGAATTGGCTCAGACATTGCAGCTTGGATCCATGTTTGGAATTTGGTACCTTCTAAACATTTACTTCAATATCTTTAATAAACAGGTGATTATCACTCTTAACTGTACAGTCCTTTTTATTGCTCACATTTGAAGCTTCAATTAACGAGAGGAAGGGTTTCTATTGTTTTGAGAACTAGAACTTTCATTTCAAAAGGAAACAGTTTAATTCGCTTATTCGAATTTTTAATTTGAATTGAGATGTGATTTTATGTGAAAATTTTTTACTGTAGCAAAAAAGTTAAATGTAACTGTTTCTGAGAGCTTTTTACTATAGCAAAACTCGAATTATAAACTCAAATCAGTGAAATGAACGGAGCCATAATCTAGTTTCCACAAAACTTGCATTCGAGTTTAGATTTTGAGTTTTGCTAGAATAAAAAAGCTATCGGAAATAATCATATCTAATTTTTTTACTATAATAAAAAAACTCTAAGATAAAGTCACATCTCAACTCGAATTAAAAATTCAAATCAACAAACTATACATAAAGGAACCAAAATTCTCTCTTCCAAATAGTTTTGGTAACACCAAGTACAACAACAACAACAATAACAAACAAGCCTTAATCTCAACTAATTGGGTCGGCTATATAAATTTCATTTTTTTATACAATTGTGTTTGAAAATAAATTTTCCTAAAAATTTAAATTTAAAATGTCTTTTTTAATGATTTCGATTAACGTAATTTTTGGTCTACACCAAATACGTAGTACAAAATTTCGGCCGCCTCTTTTTGACTTTTCTGAACCAGTACCAACAATAGCTACAAAAGAATATGAAGAGTGCTACAACACCAATTCTAATTCTAGTTTTTCATTCCGACTCTGAATTGTCATTCTTTTAAAAATTATTACAAATAAAAGAACAACTCAAAATTGGTACATAAAATTAGAATTAAAGTTTGTGTCCCTACTTCCTAGCACTACTTAAACAGTAAAGAGTTAAACCAATGCAAAGTGAAATTGAATAGAAAATTGCATATTTGCTAGGATTAATTTAGCAGTGATATCATTGACAATGTGGCTATAAGATTTAAAATCTACAGCTTCTTCATAGGTTCTGAAAGTCTATCCATTTCCAACGACGGTTACAGCGTTTTACTCCGGCTGTGGGGCCGTGATGATTCTCCTAATGTTGGGTTTCAATCTCTACCCCAGACCAAAGATTACTCGATCTCAGGTAATTCCTTTTGTTTTTTGTTTTTTTTTTGTAAACAAAAATTGAACAGTCCAGGACATATTTCCTTATGTAAAGTACTTGTCATTAAAATGACTTTCCCAGCTTGCAGCAATACTACCACTGGCTCTGGCTCACACATTGGGAAACTTGTTGACCAACGTCAGTCTTGGAAAAGTTGCTGTTTCTTTCACTCACACCATCAAAGCTATGGAGCCGTTTTTCACGGTTGTACTCTCCGCCCTCCTTCTTGCAGAGGTAATAAGAGAATTATTTCCCATTCATATACTCTTTTTTGTTAATCTAAAGGCTTTTGCAGAGTGTTTTATTTATTTATTTATTTATTTTCTCTCCAACAAGCACTTTTTGGTTTGTTCAGCGAATATATATGGAAAATTCAATGGTAATTAGGAAAAAGACCCTACCGATAGGATATATTTTTTAATTTTCATATCTTGGTCAAGTTCCATGAAATTGTCCTTTAAAAAAAAATTTGATATGATTCTGACAGTTCAATACTGTAGACAACCAGTAAGATACTTTTACATTCCCCACCAAAGAGTTCTCCAATGTAGTTGTAGTCCTAATATTTTTAAAAAGCACTGTAAAGAGTAGCAGTATCATTCTTAAACTAGATCTCAATTTAGAACTCTTGAGCTTATGCAAAAAAAAAAAAAAAATACTTTACTTATAGCAAGAAGCAATGCAAAGTGCCTCAATGCACCTTTAGAAACATTGGAAAGCATTGTTTTTAATGCAAACTGCTTGTATGTGCTCCAAAATCAATCTCAAATTAGCTCAAGTTATTTTATCAAGATGGCTGGTTATCAAAATTGCATATCATTGTCAGATAAACCAACCTTATTAAGTCATTTGACTATTGAATTTTTATATCTCCAATGTCCACATTCAGAGACCAACACTCTGGGTAGTTTCTTCCCTAGTACCAATTGTAGGTGGAGTGGCATTGACATCCTTCACTGAGGCATCTTTCAATTGGTAAGAGACGTTTTAGTACACAAGACACATCTGGTTGTTGGCATAGCCTGACAGTAAATCCGCAGTTAATTCTGCGGAGCGGCTTCTACTAAAGCTAGATTGCAGTTACTTGGTACTGATTCTTACAAGATTTGCCCCTTTTTTGAAACAGGATCGGCTTCTGCAGTGCAATGGCTTCCAATCTTACCAACCAATCACGAAATGTATTTAGCAAGAAGGTCATGGTTAACCACGAGGTAAAATTATATATCAGATGAATCTCTTCCTTTTATAGTTCACATTCTCAACTTTCTTGGTAATAAACCAGTTCCCCCACTTTGTTTCTGACTAGGAAACTTTGGACAACATCAATCTCTTCTCGGTAATAACAATCATTTCCTTCATCCTGTTGGTTCCCTCGGCTATTTTATTGGAAGGAGTTAGGTTTAGTCCTTCTTATCTACAATCTGCTGTAAGTCCAATATTAACAACTAAAGACTCCAAAAAAAAAAAAAAAAAAGAGACTAATTCTTACTCATTTTTAATAACATAATAATCTATCAGCAACCAATTTCCCTTCTGTTAATTACAGGCAAACCAAGGATTGAACATCAGAGAGCTATTTGTGAGATCACTTCTAGCAGGATTCTGCTTCCATGCTTACCAGCAGGTGAGTACAATGGCAGAAGCCTTAAAACTTTTTTCGTTGGAGACACAATGAAAAGTTTACAACACATTACTTTTCTTTTCTAGTCAATTAGGGTACTTTTAGAATTTTTTAATGATTAAGTTGAGGCATAATTATAATTTGTTTTTATTTAAATAGAGAGAATTGAAATTTTACAGCAAAATTTTTTTACTGAGATTTATATACAGCTTTGTCTTCGGATGAGTACTTATATCCACTAATGGGGTGGTGCAGCGATAAGAATGTCTTCCATTCTTCTCCTCCTGAGATGCAAACAAGTTCGATGTTAGGTAGCCCCACTTAGAGGTCTTGTCCAGCCAATTATAGGTTGTGCAGCATCAAAACTATAGCGGTTTGAATGAAACTAATGATCTAACCTTATATCAGGTCATTTGACCTTATAGTTTTTTCTATAGACGATGGAGATATGGTGGGATAGCAAGAATGATCCATCTTTTTTGTTCAACGAGAAAAAAAAATAAAAAATAAAAAACTAATTAAGATAAAACAGGGGTTGTTTGGTTGGAGGATTCGTTCCATGATTCGAATAATGATTCGTGGTTCGCTACAGTATTTTTTCTCACAAAAAATACACGTAAATTGAAAATAATTCTAATCACATGGTTCTAATCCATGAACTAAACGTTTCCTAATTTGTCTCCAACGTATTTCAAAAACCAGATTTAGAACACGATCACGCATACAACACACACACACACACATTTGGATTTGTATTTTTTTTTTCTCAATTTCACGCTTTTTCTGTTTTGGCTAATTTGTTGAATGTGGCAGGTCTCATATATGATACTACAGATGGTATCACCTGTGACCCACGCAGTAGGAAATTGTGTAAAGCGCGTGGTGGTCATAGTATCCTCAGTCATCTTCTTCCAAACACCTGTTTCACCCATAAATTCCCTTGGTAACTTCCCATGACTATTTTTACACCTTAATTTCAGCACTTATATTATTATTATCTAATTGATTGTTTCAATTAAAAATCTGAATGGATGTGTGAGCGATTAATATTGTTAATTGCTTCTTAATTTGATTATTTAATGCAGGTACTGTACTGGCTCTGGCTGGAGTCTTCTTGTACTCAAGAGCCAAACGTATTAAGCCAAAGCCCAAGATTGCATAAGCTTGTAAATTTCAAAAGTTGAAGGGGGTTCAACTTGGTAATTGTAAAGCATTTTAGTTTTTTTTTTTTCCTTATTTTTATCTTTTTTGAAAAAAAAATTTTTTTTTTTTTTTTTTTTGATAATTCAAAAAGAATGTTAGTCTTAAGTAGTCAAAGCAATAATTTTACGAGGCTCTGACCAGGAATTATAACCGACGAATTTCAGGTATACATTTAAGTCACATAAATGTTCCGATTAACTAATTACTAAATATTTCTAGAAAAAACTAATTACTAAATATAAATGGCTCAAATTAATCCGCCAAAAAATGACAGAAAGGCAAAAAAAAAAAAAAAAGGATCCGAATTGTGAAATTAATAACTTGCTCGTCCAAACGACCCATACAGAAGGAAATTACGACCAACAGACTTTGAGAGACAAATTAAAAAAAAAAAAAAAACGAAAAGTACAGCAAACACCTAGAGTTTCCTCACGTACAATTAGATTAATATAATTTTTTTTTTCATTTTTTTAAACCCTAGGTGTGTTGTCCTTCTGTGGAGTAACGATTAACGACCATACGCCCACAATTCTTTTCAGTGGGGGCCACGTTAACGACAATAAAACAAAAACAAAAAAAAAAGTTCAAAATGAAAAAACAACAAGAACTAACCGAATACGACATAACAGAACTCCGAACTCACCGTCGTTTTTAGTCTTTTGCTCAAAGCTTTCCCTGGCAAATCATCTCCATCAAATCCATCTCCTTCTTGACTTCTCCAGGTCCCTTCATGAGGCTCTCAATCTCAGTCCTCATCTGGAAATCCACATTGCTCTCGTTCTCCATCGCCGTTCCGTACGCCATCTCGTCCAAAAACGACCTGAACCCGTAGCTCTCGGAGTACAAACTCTTGTTGTTTTCCACATCCACAAATTTGATATTATTAACATTGTTATTAATATTATTAGCACCATTATTAGTACTGTAAACCAGATTAGTCGCCAGATTAACGACCCAGTTATCGACGCAAGTCACGTCCGAGTTCTCCGCCAGAAGCTGCTGCATTTGGGGCTCATGATCATCAACCGACGTCGTATTATTGTCAACGCCGTCGTCGTCGTCGTTTTTGGCGGCGTCGTTGTTGAGGTTAATAGCAATATTGTTGTCGTTTTGGTTTGGGGTTGTAATGCTCCTGATGTAGTTCTGCAAGAGAGAGCCTTTGAAGTTGAGGTCTTTGTTCCTCTTTTTGGAGTTTTGCCGTCGCTTGGTGGCGTTCCAGTGGTTCTTGATGGTGTTCTCCGACCGTCCAGGCAATCTCCGAGCGATCTCGGCCCATTTGTTGCCGACCTCTTTGTGGGCCCTGATCAGGATCTTGTCTTCTTCTTCGCTCCAAGTATCTTTCTGCCATTGTTTTATATTCATTTTAACGTATAATTATTAATGCAACACTTACATAATCAGAATAATTCATAAACTAAAAGTGTATATACATATAAATATATATGATAAGTTGATAGAAAACACAAACGATATAAAACGAAGGAATTCTATTTATTTATGCATGCCCTTGTTTTTCGATACAATACTAGTGCTTGTGTATAACATGATCAGATTTTGTTTTGCTTTTATGAGAATATTGTGACATTAGGATTTGATTTGTTAACGACTAATAAAAGAAATGGGAGATATATATCTGAGGGTACAGTATATATATGAAATTTAATACACGATGGTAAAGAGTTCTAGCATATTTATCCTATATCTGATTAACAAAATGTATTACACCTTTAATATTTTTTAAGCGATTAATCTAGCTATTAGGGTTTTTTTCTTTGAAAAAGTAAAAAATAAAAAATAAAAAATAAAAACACTTGATTGTGATATTGTATAACTCGTATAACAATAATGAAGCGAGTGTGATCATAGAAGGAAAAAGGTTTTAACAAAAAATTAAGGGGCAAAAAAAATATTTTTAAAAAGTTAAGGGGTCAAAATTTAATTTTGAAAAATATAAACCCAACATAACTTCAAGAAACTCGACCCCAACGTCGATCTCAAAAACCAAGCCCGAGGCTTTATATTTGTGAAATATTTTATATGTTTTTAATACGATATTTTAAGTTAAATTGCATAATACGGTCTAATATATATATATATATATATATATATATATATAATTGTGTTTAACTGGATCGATGAATAACTCGCATGGCGTGGTATATGGAGGCCACAGATTGCCATGCGATAATATATGTGATTGCTAGTTCAACTTGTGAGTTTTTCGCAATTTAATTGGACTGATATGTCATTACAAGATGCGCTAATATAATAATAACAATGACAATAAAAAAGTAACATAATAACTTCATGCGTTTAAAGACACGCGTCGAAAAAGCATATAAATTCCCAATAAAACAATAAATGGATAACCAAAAGTGCACAAAACCACATCTTAAAATCAGATCTAGAAATGCCTTTGAGAAAATCTACATACAGTTGCTTACATATGTATGTATTTAATTAAGAGCCACAGGAATATGTTTATTAGATTAACATGAATATGAAAATATGCATATTATTTTTTTTTAAAAAATGAATATTTGTATATTGATATGCATTTTGAACAAATGGAAGGTAATAACAAGATCAAAGGAAGAGGTTAAAGAATTATACCCTAATATCAGGCCGCAGATGGTTGTGCCATCTCTCCCTACACTGCTTCCCTACTCTACCACTCAGCGTCTTTGCAATTTTTGACCATTTTCTGATTCCATAACGCCCCACCAATTGTATCAACACTCTGAAAAAAGTAGAGATTTTGATCACACATATAACATCAACAAAGAAATCCCATTTGAAACACCAAAATACACACACACACACACACACAGAGGGAGATCATCGGTAGAGAAAAAAACAAAACAAACAAAGAAAAACATTAATTAATATTGCACCAAAGAAAAAAAAAAGAGTAAAATATACCAAATAATTAATATTTAACTCTAATTAGAGGAAATGGTCTCTTTACCTATCCTCCTGAGGAGTCCATTGGCCTTTGACAACGTTGGATTTCTTTTGAGCGCCCTTGCTTGCCTTTCTCATAATATGCATCCTCTTCCTCTTCTTCTGGCCAGCAACTCTTTTTTGCTGCCCTTTCTGATCAGGTGTGGTTATGCATGACACATGAATATCATCATCATGATCAGGCAAATTAGTATTAGCTTTGGTTGATCCCAAATCTCTGAAGTTCAAAGAGGACGAATACGTCGGTATAGGCGGCTGGCCGGCCGCTTGATGAATCGAGCTTTGATTATTGCCCCAAAAGGGCTTAGTACTTGGCAAACCATGCAAGATCCCATTATGGCTTGGAGGTGCAAGAGGCAATGAGTTAAAAACATTAGGAATATTCAAATCCTTTGATGAGACCACCCCAACATCATTTGTGTAAGGCTCGTGAAAGGATTCAATATTGCTTGTGTTTGAAAGGCCAAGCAAAGGGCCAGGTGATGATCCTTGAGTGGTGAAATGACCAAAATTTGACACACTAAGGGGAAGGTTTTGATCAAAATTAAGGAAGGGATTTTGGAACAAATTATTACCCTTTGGTGAGGGAGAAGGACCTAAGGGAAATATTAGGCCATTGTTAACCCCCCCAATTACCTCTGGCTTCCAAGAACTCCCATGGAAAAGATTGTGAAAGAAAGGAAAATCAGTGTCTTTCATATTGCAGCTAATTCTTCTAAACTCAAAAAGTTATTGCATGCAAAAGTATAATAGCTAGAGAGGAGAAAAAGAAAAAAACAAACAAAGCTCAAGAAAGGAAGGGTGGTTTAATGTGAGAGGTAAATGGAGTCCTTTTATGGCCTATATAATGGAGAAGGCAAGGTTAGATAGGAGCAAAAGTATATCTACAGCCATTGTCTGTATCCTAATCCAACGGTTAATATTGCTTGTTGGTTGTGACTGTTGAGCTTCTAAGGACTAAAGAATTTTGAAAAAGGGAAAAAAAAAATTTACGGTATGAAATAATGATTAGGTCGTTATGTGGCTTTGTATATTTGGAAAATTCTCAAGTATGGTAAGTGACACGTGGCAGACATGTGCTCCTCCTTTGTGCTTTTAAGCTAGGATTTGGCTGGAGTGGTTTGTGTTCTTCTGATTAAGTGATTAACTTTTAAATCATAGCCGTCCATGGCTTTATGTCAGCACTAAGATCACATGCTCTAGGTGAAATCAGACGGTTGGTAGAGTATAACATACATTGCAGGTTGATTTTGTTAGAAAATTATACAAAAGGAGTTGGGATATTTTTGCAAGGCTTATCATTCTTGCCTGTTTTTTTGCATCAAAATTAATTTAAAATTCTTTTTTGCGGAGTTGCACTTAAGAACGACAACATTTCTGCCTATAATGTATATTCTTTCAAATTTAGCTTTAAATAATACAATTTAATCAGAATGAGAGTGCATTACGAAGAAATCGACTTTGGCGCATTGTAGAAACTTATATATATATATATATATATATATATATATATATTGATCATTGTGGGATATTTGTTAACAACCAATTAAAATTTATTATTTTACTATAACCTTTACAATTCCCACCGATTGATAAAAAATGTGTCTGAATGAACTTAGGCAATATACCAAGAAAGTAAAAAGTCTCGCCTTTTATAAGTGCTATGAACTTTCGTTTTTCAGCAAAGTCTCTTTCTTTAATTTTTGAAGGGTTTTTTCTAAAGTTTTATAAAAGGTACAACCATTTTTTATTTTTTTTTTAAAATTTATTTTTTTGGATAAGTTCAGGTTTTCCCGATTGACCATATTCCTTAGCTAGCTTGCAAGACTATCCATTAAAACCAAATTTAAAAAAAAAAATTGAATTCTATCTTTCAATAGGAGAGATAATGACTAATGAGTAAAAGTAGTAGTAGTGAATTCTAGAATTAAGGGGTTGTTTGGTTGAGGGATTCGTACCCCGATTCGAATCATGATTCATGGTTCGTTACAGTATTTTCTCTCACAAAAAATATACGTAAATAAAAAATAGTTCTAATCTCATGATTCTAATCCATGAACCAAACGTCTCCTAATTTTCTACCTTAAAAAGAGAGAGCATCAGGGCAACAAAGTAACTTTCATGACAGAATGATTTTTCTCTGATTTTGTTTTACTGAATTTCCTAAAAAGAGGTTTGTAACAATATCTTTTGTCCTTATGGTAATGTAGTTAAAACCTTGAATGGCTTTTGTCTGAGCAATGACCCATGACCATGAGCAATAAAAGCCCTGCACTTATTGTGTAACTGCCATTTCAATACCTCCTAAATAGGCATTTTCTATTAATGACTATTAATTTTCACTTAACTTATTCCCAAATTCGCTTTGTTTTACAGTATACAGTCATATCATTTTGAATATATATATTCACACACACACACAAACATATATATAGAGTTATACTGCACACCATTATCGCAAATAATATAGCACAAATTTATTTCTTATAAGTATAATAACATAAAATAATAACCCTAGCATAAAACTATAAATACACCCGCCTTCCACTTGGAGACTTCAGCACCCCGCTTAAAAAAAAATGGCACATTATTTGGACTACAATATTGACAAATATTACAACCATAAAAAGGATATGAGAAATGGTGGTGCTATGGTTTTATTTTGTTTTCGCATTAATTTCTGTTGGTTTTTTTTTTTTTTTTTTTTTAAGAATAATTTCTGTTGGGGTTTAAGAGCAATTATTTCAAGTGACGAGTTTTTACCTCGGCAAGAAAGGCTTCATAAATACAAAGAGTCGAATGTTATTATCTCTGCGTTTCCCTTGTATATGTTGCGCCACAGCACTGGTATATATAAAGTATAAACAACCTCGAAATTCGGAATCTCCGGCAGTTGTAACACCCAGAAATAGATGAGAAGAAAGTACAATCTTTTAATTTCTACTAAGAATTTAATAAACGCTTCAATTACCGGCTTGAGTTTAAATAAGATAAGATGCCCATTTACTTTTGTCAAAGATATGCTTAAAAATAGTCATGAATAGATGTAGAACTTTACTGTCTAAAATAATTAGTAGAGAAATTTAGTATCCAATAAAAAAGAGGTATATGTAACGTGCATATTGTGTATACATACCTATAATATACACACATGTATCCTTGCAATTACTTAGAGAAGTTTTATCTGTGTATATATATATGATTCATAAATACGAACGTAACACGTGGCGTTCTCCCTTTGTCCCTTTCAATTTATTGAGGAGAAAAGGGAAATGAAAAATTTAAGAGATAAATTTAAAAAAAAAAAAAAAAAAAATTTGAACCTACATATATAGGCACATATATACATATACGTATTGAGTACAGGGTTATTAATTATTCCAGTATTTACTTATTGATCGGTACCATTGTTTTAGTTGTGTGATGTGAATCGCACGATTATAATAAATTGAATAGTTAAAAAAAATTATAACCATTAATAATTAATAAGTATAGTTATAATTGCAAATTCGTTAATATATATATATATATATATATGTATATATACACATATATTTATAGATAAGGACGAATGGACTATGAATATTCTTGACCAGAAGATATATGTGTTGGAATTGGATGTTAATGAGGTATTGATTGAGGTTAGTGCATGAAATACATGCGTGGTGCCAAAAAGCAAGATGCTAATGAGAAGCAATATTGTGTTGCGAGCACTTCACAAGGTAAACGGAGTTCCGTGAAAGCAGATTTTCCATTTTTCACGCAGTCATATCTACCTTTTCAGATAACAAACTTCGTTGCAATAAATCCCATTTTGAGAAGGCAAAGCAAAGATATCGAGAACTATAACACAGGCGAATTCTTTGATTAAGATTGATAAAGTACTAGAGAGTAAATATAGGACCCGTAACAAAAATAATGTACGTATTTAGAACTCGTTTTAAAATAATTTTATTTTTTATATGAAAATGAAAATAAAAACGTTTTCAATCTCAGATATCAATCATTGTTAAAAATGCGTTTGATAGTTTTATTAAGAGATTATTTTCAGTGTAAAAAAACTCATTAATGTCTCACTTTCTCTCTTTGCTCGAGAGAGAAAAAAACGAAAACAAAAAATGAAAAACGACTAAAAGTCGTTTTTCATTTCTCTCTCATTTTACACTAAATTAAAAAATCGTTTTCATTTTCATTTTTTATCTTTATTACGCCAAACGCTGTTTTAAAAACGTTTTTTTTTTAAATATAAAAATAAAAACGAAATCAATTCTAAACACGATCAATATAATTTTATTTTCTTTTCTTGTCTTTCCCATCTAAGAATTACAAGTGCACAAAGAGAGGAAAACTTTTATACCAGGTGATGTTTTTTCACGGCATCGTGCTGGGTGAGCGGGATGCGACTCATAGCACATTAAATAAAGAAATATACCGGTTGGGAAGGAGAATGAAAAAAATGAAAGTTAATGGAAAAGTAGGCGGGAAAAAGTAATTGGTTTTTTTTTTTATTTACTGAGAAAACATAAATTTGCTTGATTTTGAGATAATTTCCTTTTTTAAGATATTTGACCACGGAATAAATTAGTGGGTTAATTTGATGAGACAAAAAAAAAATAAAGTGATTAAATTATCTTAATATAAACAGAAATAACAAATATGTTGTAAGGCTTGATCTTTGAAATTTTAGAACCTATGAATTAAATCACATTGTTGGAATTTTTAGACGATCGTCGATCTTTTGTATATTTGCGGTATATTTCCAAAATAATTCTTCAAATATCAGTTTAAGCAGTGGGCATTTTTTGACGATCGCATGGGTAATTGTTAAATTTAATAAGATGGTCGCATGCCTGAAAATGTAAGGAAAGTAAACAATTTATTTTTTATGGTCAAATTAGAGTAATAAGATTATTAAAGTTTTGAATTAACGCATTTAAAGAAAAAAAAAACCCCCCTTAAAAATGTAAGCTTTTGAATTTTTAATTCCTAATTCTACAAAAATAAGTTTTTTCCTTCAATACTTTTTAACGGCTATTTTCAATTTTTCATTAACTCTTTAACGAAAATAGTTCATTATTCTTCATATTTGATGATCGTGGATATAGTTTGACTATTACGATTGTCCATTCCCTTTCTAAAAGATAAGAAGAACAAAAACTTCTTCTTCCTTTTCCCAATCTTAATTTTTTCTTAAATATCCACTCACCATACACGATATCCACAAAAATTGTTAGAAGAGAAAATCTCAAGAAAGTGACAGAAATTGAAGAAGAAAACGATTGAGAATAATCTGAAATTCTATTCAAGTGAGAAATGATACAGAAACAAGCTTATATACTAGTACACAAGTTGTATAGATAAGTTATAACTAACTAACAACTTGTACAGCTAATCTCAACTAATTGAAACTAAAACTAACTAATTACAAGCTGACTCAACTATTTACAAGCTATTCTAATACTCCCCCTCAAGATGGACTGTAAACATTCTTGACAGCCATCTTGGAAAGGAGAGGAAAAAGAGTAGAAGCCAGTAATGGTTTGGTGAAGACATTAGCCAGTTGAAGATGTGTTCTGATGGGCAGTAGCTTGATAGAACCATCAACAACTCGGTCACGAACAAAGTGACAATCAATCTCAATGTGTTTGGTGCGTTCATGGAATGTAGGATTGTTAGCAATATGAACAGCAGCTTGATTA